TAATAATTTATAAACATAGATTATATTATTCATTATTTTTTTTTTTGTAAAATAAAAATGATTTTAAATGGATAGAATTGAAAAGAATAAAAAAGAAACAAGCAATGTACTTGTATAAAAAAAAAATAAGAAAAAGAAGCACAATGAGTGAAATTTTCTCTCCTCAAAGAGACATCGTATTCGAGTTCCTCCGAAAGAATGTGGAAGCAACGCCGTTCCCGTAACTCGACGATTTTTATTTCCCTCACACGTGCATGCACGCGACAGAAAAAGAAAGAAATAGAAAGAAACGCGTGGCTATGTCCGAGAGGCACAAGACAAGAGCAATTCTTTTCCCCCATCTAGAAGAATTCTCTTGAAATAGCGACGATATAAACTCTGGTAAATAGTGAATACCCCCATTAGCCTTTTCCTCCATTGTCTCCCATAAAGAAACTAACAATAAAAAGGCAAGACATTTTTTCATTCGTCTTGCATGAAATCTTTTTTTCTAAGAACCCAACACACCACCGGACGCGTCTAGGTCAAAGGTCATCTTATTTTCTTCTTTTTTCCTTTTTTTTTATACGATTCGATTTCGAACAATCATGCTAAAGAATAAATGCGTACGTTTAATTGTTATTTTATACGATTAGAGTAATAGAATAATTCGTAAGCATGATTTGTTCTTTTTTTCATTTTCCCGCATTTTTATTTCCCTCCATTTTTGTTTTGTTTTTTGAACTTCATAAACTTAATACAAATGATCCAATTAAATTCAAATAAAATAAAATAATAGTTTTATTGTTCAAAGTAGTATGATAAAAAAGATACTAAATACATAAATGCATAAATCTTGAAGATTTTTATTATGTCTATTATTCTTTATATTCTTATTTATCTGTCTGTCAAGAAAGAGACAATGATGTATGTGCGTTCGTCGACGAATGGAGAAATAAAAAGAATTTCTAGTAATAAATAAACACTTTTAAATTCGCGATCTTAAATCAAATAAATTTCTTCCATCGATCATTTCGATGAATGAATGAATGCTTAACAAACAATGTCTATGCAATGTTGTTGTTGATGAACAAAAACTTATCAGCGAGATTTTTCTTTGACTAATTCGAGTTAAATGAAAATGAAATAAAATTGTATAAACGTGGATAAATATTCGATTCTCACCTCGATCACCAAAATCAGAGGAAAGATCCAGGGAAGAAAATTGTGATCCTTGAACGAAGTAAAAGGAGCGGTAGCAGCAGTAGTAACAACCAATCATCGTTGAGTATTTTCTTCTCAAAAAAACACGCGCTCTGATTCGTATTTTATTATCTTCTTTGCACGAACTTTATTAACCAATTATAGCGAAATAAATATCACGGATATAATTAATGCGTTATCATCCGATATTCAACGAATAGAAATAAAGTTAAATAAATAAAGATAGAACAATGAAATAGTCAAGATAAAAAAGTAACCAATAGGAGGAATGTAAAGTATCTTTTTTAGTACGAACTTATTATTGTCACACTCACGATGGAGAACGACGACGACGACGAATGATACGAGAATGAAAAAGAAGAGGAAGTGAAGTAGAATAAGAATAAGAAAGAAAAGAATAAAAAGAATAAGAAAGAATAAAAGGAAAAATAAGACAGCGTGACATGTCAGTCAGGTGGCGGAGCGCGTCTGCGGAGCGCTATCGTTCTCTCGTCCTTCTGCAAAGATAAATCCCTTTGGTAGAACTCGCGAATAAGAAGGAAGAGGAGGAAGAGAAGTGTAGAATAAAAGAAGGTAGAAGAATGAGGAGGGAGAGGAGGAGGAGGAGGAGGAGAAGAAGAAGAGAAGAAGAAGAAGAAGAAGGAGGAACGACAGGTATCACGCAGTCGACGACGAACGAACTAGCGCGAACTAGCGCGAACGAGCGAACGAACTCGAAGGAACTCGTGCCTCGCCGGCCACCGCTATGATCACGCTGATTGGCCGACTCCAACTACCCCCACCACCCACTCCCGTTCTCCATTTCTCCTCGCGCATCGAAGAAAAGGACGAAGGGAAGGTTGTGTTGGATCAGGGCACTGGCTTCGTTCGAATGAAACTGAACCGGAGTCATACGTATATATGGATTTATCTGTAGTAGTATATTGCCAGTTGGGTCGTGAAAAAGATCGAAAACATCGCGATGCGGACCGATATCATTCTCTTCCCTTTCTTCTCACAGGATGAATTCTACTTTCTGCGCATGCGCGATAATTTTCTTTATACACAAAATAAATACTTCAAAAGCGTTAAGATTTATTTAAACTTATTATATTCATCTAATTATTATGTTATTTCAATATATATTTTCTATACTTTCATGACAATACATTTAATTACAGCGTGTAGTTTATAATTTGAATTAACTGTAGGTATCATCATTGTTCTAATCTATTTCATATTAGACTGCTTGCGCAGAACTTTATGCGACCTTTTTCCGGTCTCGTGCCAGACGTGCTTCCTAATGACTCGATGCGAATGAAAAAAAGAAAAAAAAAAGGAAAGAAAGAAATAAAAATTCATTATTAAAAAGTAATTAATTATTGTCCTCCTCTGGTTTTTTCCTTTCTTCTAATTAAACGAAAATAAACGGGTTTTTAAATAACCGACGAAAATTAAGTTTTCAATAGAGTAGTCAGTTTGCCTGCGAACAATGCTTGTTTGTTTTATTATTATTATTTTCATTAAAATTACTATAATTATTATTATATTCCTTATTCGAATCAAGAGATCGTAATATGCCCCCGTGCATTTACCTTTTAATAAAAACATCGTAATTTTTTAATTGCTTGCGTCGTTGGATATTTAACAGGCTGCAATTTACCGCGAGTTCTTTTTATGTGTGTACACGTGCGTATATTTCAATGTATTGGGTTTTTTTTCTTTACCACTAGCACGAAATTCATACGTTCATATATTAGTCAAGAACTATATTATTAAATACTTCGACTTTTAAACGAAACATTTTCTTTCCATTTCATATATCCCATAAATTCCATTTTGATTACTTCACAGGAATTAGTGTCTCTCCCTATAGGTGAAGTTACGAACTAAAGTGTCGGTAATATCCTAGTGAAGATGATTAACACAAAAAGTTACCAAAATATCTTACCTATCTTGTGATGATAATAAAAAATACTGTAATTTAATGATATCCAATGAAAGTTTAAGAAAAAAAATGGCGCTTCAAGCGCATGCGCATTGTCGATAATATCTAAACTTTAGGCTGGAAACCAGCACTCTTCTTTTTTTTTTTTTTTAAATTCACATATCAATTAATATAAAATATTAAATAAATACTTAAAGATTATCTTTGAGATAGACTTTACAAAATTAATATTTGATTAGATATTATAAGAGATAAATATTTGAGTTGAATACAAAATAAAAATCGATCAAAGCGACTCTAATGGGAATAAATGGAAGCTTCAACGCATAGTAATTTTATGGTCAATGTTGTCTGCCATGGTTATAAGTGTATTATTAAGTATGTGTGTTGTACTATGTGAAGGTTAATGAATGTTTCACGTCATCATATTAATTTAGTGTTTATCCAATTAATAAGTGAATTTTTGTTAAAATATGTTGTACACGTGACGTCGAGTGGACAGTAAATGTGTGCATATTTTAAGCTGTGAGTTTAACGGTAAACATCAACGTGTAAAATGGCGTGGTTCGGTGACAGTCTTTCTGGATTATCTCAATTAAAAGGCCAAATTACGAACTTTACGAAAGAGGTACTTTCCGAAGGGATCGTAAAAGAAACTGGTACGTAATTAATTTTTAAAAAGATCTGCTATAAATAAGCAAATATGATGTTGAAAATTATTTCGCAAGAAGAAAGTTTAAGGTTATTCACGACTGTCAAAATAAGGGTCTGTTTTACCGATCTTTTTTTTTCCACTAAAATCTAGTTTACCGACTAAACCGCTTGGCGGTAAATTTCAAAATCTCCCTAGACTTACCGACTAGGTAGAAACTACTAATGCAACAAATTTATTAAATAAATAAATAAATTAACATCGTTTCGTTTTAATACGATATTTAATGTTTAAATCGTGGTTTTACAAATAAATTGCGACATTGTATGTAATTATTTAGGTAAATAAATTTTGATTTTTTTATATTTTTCAATTTAGATGATCAAACGTTGCAATTAAAAGAAGCGAACGAACGTTGCATAAAACTGCAAGAGTTATTGGACACGAAGGATGCCGAAGTGAGTATACTATTTTTCTTCTTTTTACATAATAGTCTTTCATAATTGTGTCTACGCATAGAGAGAGAGAGAGAGAGAGACACACACACACACACACATAAATACATAAGCAAGTAATATATTCTTATCGATGGACTGGAAAGTTAAAATTTATCAAAAATAATATTTAAGTTTTTCAATGTTATCGGAGAGGATCTAAAAAACCTACCCTTCTCCTCGTTGGTTTTTCCATGATAAAAAAAAGAAAAAAGAATGAGAGTGAGAGAGAGAGAAAGAGGGTCGATTAGAAATGATTTCAACAGATGTTACTCTCCCCAATATAATCACGAATGAGTGTTAAGCAAATACATTTAACTTATCTGACCATATTATTCTACCACCCCAAGCGCTTTACAAAATCCTTTGGACCCTCCTTCTATTTTTTTTTTTTTTTTTATTATATTTCTCATCCCCCTATTCCTTCTTCTTTTTTTTTCCTTTCCATTTTTTAGAATCGAATAAATTATTCCTATTTTGTAACGCGCGCGGTGTATCAAGGATGGACTTTGAAAAGATGAAGATCATATAGAATTTTATCAGATTTTCTTTTCTCCAAAGATATTTTTTAAAAAAGAAATACTTGGGAAAGAAAGAAAGAAATAAAAGAACCCGTGTCAGAAATAAATGACTCTTCCCCTTTTTTCCGTTTACAGTTTGTGCATAATGCAACAGTTTGGCATTGCATAATAACCTTCGACATCGTCATCCGTTCCGAGAGAGAACACAGAAATAGTTTTGTGTGTTTGAGGTCATTGAAGTCCCCTTATTCTTCTTCTTCTTCTTCTTCTTATACCTTCGTTCCGGTTTGCTATCGCTGCCAATTTGTGGAAACGCTGGAAACCAAAAGCCAGCAAACGTACTCATTCTCTTTCTTTATCTCTCTCTCTCTCTCTCTCTTTCTGTTTCCCTTTCTAGGCTTTTGTGGTTAGCCCTCGAAGGTATATACTTTCACCATTCCATTCTATGTGTTTCGTCTACCGATAGAGAATAGCATGGCCGACCAATATCGCGAGCTTTTAGTCTCTTTACGTTTTAACAATGTCTACTGTTTCGAGAACAGTTGAGAGAAACTTTCCAACAACGATAATAATAATGGTTTAATGTACCCATCGATTTTTTCACTTTAGAAACAATCAACGATTCGACGGGAACATTTCATCATAGAGGCCATTTTTATGTTCAATCGTCTATTGTTTTCATTTATAAACTTTTCAAAAGTTATATTTCTTTTGGCGCGTTAAAGAAACAAATGATGAGAATGAATTTTTATGATGCGCGCGCACAATGCGATATGATTTTACTACAGCGTGAAGTTAGTCGATACTAGTTGACTATCGATAAATTGATTAATTTCACTTCAATTTAGTGTGAAATATATTGCAAGATATTTTTTTTTATTTTTTTTTTGTCTAGAAATTGTTTAGAATAATTCATTTTTGACACAATTATATCGTAGAAACGATATCCAGTTTCGTTTTTACAGTTTTTTGATTTTCATTAATATTTGAATATAGATAGAAAAAAATACAATTGCGTAAAATAAATTAGTTGATATTGTACAAACTACAGTTTTATAGTAGAGACGTTTATTTGACGTCTTTTATATATATATATGTATAGTTATATACAATGTGTGTATACGGTACACGCAAAGTTATCGACAAAATGGCCGCGCCTAGTTAAGGGTTAACGACTGCTCACTTTGAATGGAACGACACGAAACAACGTTGAACTATAATAAACTTACTTTGAGTTAATTCATTTATATTATTACATTGTATTTTGAAATTTATTTACAGATTTTCATTCTATTATTAGAAAGATCAAAAAGAATCCAAATGAAACTCGTACAAACACGAAAATCTTTTATGTAATTTTATTAAACATTAATTATCTATGGATAATCCAATAAATTCAATAAATAATTCTAGGTTAGTGTGCAAATAAGTAATATAAATAACAAAAATGTCTTATCATTTATAATATTTGATCATTTATATATCGCGTAGATACGTTTCTGCTTTTTTTTTTTTTCTTTATGTATCATTTGAGAGAGTCACGGGTTGTGAGTTCTTCCTGCAACTAGAAAGATTATCGATACCGTTCTTATCGCTTTATCGATCCAATCAAAATTTTATTACCTTTTTTCCTTTTTCTCCTTTTTTTTTGTTTTTTAATAATTTTACGATCTAAACAATAAAGTCGAATAATATATATTCTCGAACACTATTACTCGTATCATCTCATCGATTCGTAAAATTATTTTTAAATATTTTTAGCTCATCCTATATATGATTATTCAAAAAATGCAACGATAATTGCAATTGTACTTTCGGTTCTAATTATTATTATTTTTTTTTCAAAAGTTTTTGCTAATACTAAATGACAGATAAGGAATGGATAAGGGGTGGCCCAACCAAAGTAGAAGGAAATAGGAAGAAGTTGAAACCAAACTAAAAAACAGAGAACAAAATCTCACACGGCTTGCTCGACGTGTGTTGTGTGTGTGGAATAGAAACGGGTTGCGAAGGGGCGTCAAGGGGCAAAAGGGGACAAGAGTAGATGGATTTAGTGAAGGAGGAAGAGGAGGAGAAGGAGGAGGGAAAGGGGATGGGGATTATCGCAAGGCAAACTTGAGATAAGAAAGGCAAACAGAAAACTCGCTCATCGTATCGTCCGCCATCACACCGGACTTCCTTCTCTGATTATAGTTACCAATATTTTAAGTCGACACCTTGATTACCAACACGTTTTTCATCTCTTTCTGATTTTTTTTTTAATTTTTTTTTTTACACTTTTTATCTATCGCAATTTTAGGAAAAATTCAAAATGATGGGACGAGAGGATCATCTGTGGCTTTTTGATTTTTTGATGTTTCGTCTCATGGGTTTGTCCTGTGCTTTTTTGTTTTCTTCTTTAATTTGATCTTTTGCCATTTTTTCTATATTTTTCTTGTTTTACAGATTTCTATGTTACGTCGACAAAATTGCGAGCTGCAAAAAATTGTCGTCGAGTTGGACACCAAAACGAAAGAATCGGTGAGTAACCTACTTTGAATTATATTTTTTTGTTTGTTTGATCATAGTTTGTTTTTTATCTAATTTAATAAATAATTGTTTAATTAAATTATTTATAAATGTGTGTGAGAAGGAGAGAGTGTAGACGACGTTTATTTTCTTACTCAGCACATAAGGAGAAGTCTCAAAATCAAGCGTGGCAGCTGATGAGGCTGATAATATAAAACTGCCGAACGCGACACATTCATTCTCCCCTTTCTCACTTCGTATTACGCCAACGACTGCAACAGTCATAACTCTTTTTATCGTTCTTATCGATAGTTTAAAAACGTTTTTTTCACGGACTTATTTCTTTTCTTTTTTTCTTTTTTTTTTTTTCTTTCGAGTCTCCTACATTGCAAACCCACATTCCACGATGATTTCGTAATAAAATTAACCGCTAAATAATATATTTATAATGCATCTAAATATATAAATAAATTATAATAATTGTAAGGAGAATTTCATTTAAAATGAAATTTTAACTCAATTATAACCAATTCCAAATAATGTTTGTAATCACATATACTATCTTTAATTAGATTTTTTTAACTAATCGAAAGATCAAATACAAGAAGGATTTTTAAAATTTTTTGACTGAAATGAAAGAATAAGTGAATAAGAGAAATCTAGAGTTGTAAAATGAAATGTTCGATAATCGATTAGACGATGTTCTTTTCTCCATTACTGCAGTCAAATTCTGACCAACGAATTATCACTTCTCGGAATGTAAATATATAGATATATATTTGTAAGAGTTTACTTTTGCGGTTTAGTTTGACCTAGAAACTGCTTAGCCTCAACTCACGCGTGTATGCACACACACACGGCACGCACGCACATAGTAGAGACATATATTATATAAATATATTTCCATCGTTGTCAGGGAACATATTTTTAATGCTTAAAAAATGATAATTCTTATTGTTCGGTGGGGTCTCTTGTAGATACCACTAACTACTCGAGGTTTTCCTTCAAATTGTTGTCAAGTGGTCATCACGCTGATGTATTTAAAGAAAATAAGTTTTTTTTTCTCGTTGATAAGCTCTTGACAATTATATTCTAACCTAGTATATCTATTTTTTTTTTTTTTTNTTTTTGTTTTACGACACTTAAATTTATCTCATTCTAACGCACACATATACAACACACACATATATATATATATATATATATATATATATATATATGTGGTGTATATGGGGTATATGGGATATATATCGATGGCGAGAATAGTGGCTTTAAGTACAACGTTTAACACGAACCCTAAGAATCCAATCCCTTTCTTCCTTCCTTCCTTCCTATACCGCAACGTAATCTCGAGTAATCGATGATCACGGTATATATATCAACGATCCTACTTCCGTTTGACTCTTATTTTTATTAATATTACTATTATTATTATTATTATTATTAGGGTGCCTTACTATTGGCTATCGTGTAATTTCAAATGTAATTCGATATATTATTATGCGATGTAATTATTTTGTGCTTTTTTCCGTCGGCCATTTTTTCGACATTCGATCAATCGAGTTTTAGGTAGGAGATAGAAAAGGAAATAATTGAAAGAACGCGACCTTGAATAAAAATAGGAGAAAAAGAATGAAAGAAAGTTATAAATTGGTCGAGGCCGACTTTGACAATGAAGTTTAGGGAAAGGAAAACTAGGAGGAACACGGGAGAGAGGGAGGGAGGGGAACCCACCAAGTGATTTGCAGTATAATTAGAAGAGAACATTTCTCAATTTCTACGGCGTCGAACTTTTCACTACGACTACGACTACGAAGGACAAGTTGGACCATTTCCCTTCTACCTTTCCCTTCCCCCCGACCGAGTTGTTTCCACTTTCCACTCCCAATTTCTCCTACCATTACGGAAACGGAAGAGAGAAAGAAAAATCTGTAGGAAAAGTTTGTCGACTACGATAAACTACGATTCCCATTGTTCTCCAAAAAGGTCTACTAAACTTTGTGTCCACCCTTCCCATCTTTCTTCCCTTCCACCCACCCCCACACTCTTCCGTCCCTTTTTTGGCTAGACTTTTTTCTTCAATCCTGAGTATAGCCAATGGTTGAAATCAAATAAAATAATAGCAATTGCAATAGTAAGAAAAATGATAAAATCATTTATCTGATATTGATAATATATATATATATATAATGACTATAATAATAGTAATAGTCTAGTTACGTGACTGGAACTATCCGATAGAAAAAAAAAAGAAAAAGCATAGAGAAAAATCAAGCAGACCGATCTTCAACGTTTCAAAAGAAATAACGTAATTAGTAGGAATTGCATAGTTTTTCTTATGGTATTCAATGGAATGAATTTTTTGGTCTTTCTCTTTTTGTATTTTTTGTATCTTATTTATTTAGAGTAGTCACGGAAGAATATATGAAAGAATGAAAGAGAAAGAGAATATGATTGGAAGAATGAGTAGCGTGAATTAGTGTGTACGTCGGTTTGGGTCGAACGAGGTTATCCTAAAAAAGGGGAGGAGGATACTCCTCCCCCCTTACCCCCAGAGCAATTTTGGTATATAGCCTAATAACAGGGCAGGGCGAATACCTTGGGATACTACGTATACGTTTTTTTCTTTTTTTCTTGTTGGTCTACCTCTTCTTTTCACAGCAACCATAAGATCCAGGAATGCCCTAAGGGCGCGAATAGTAGTTGGATAATATCCTTGCAAAGGAAAGAAACGTTGCAAACTTCAATTGGAATTTTTGCCTAGAGATATAGGGTAGGTGCACAAGTATTAAAGGGAATCATCATGTTATTGCTGGTATGCACACAATACTACTACTTTTCAACCCTTTTTTTTCCCCTTATGAAACTCTTTACCATGTCAACCCTAAATCTTGCAACTATCCAACTTGTTTATTATGTTTCCCTTAAATTCAAAGTATCAGTAATTACAAACTTTCTTCTTATTATTTCTATTTGTTCAAATTGTATGTTGAATTATTTAAGGGTGGAATAAATCATCGGAATATTTCTTACTTTAAAGTAAATTTTCTTGATTTTTATTTTATTTACACGTTGAACACAGGAACTTTGAGTGGTAAATGTTTTATTAACGTCGTGCAATATTTTCCACAATTTTATTGAAACACAGAGGAAATATTAATTTCTAGAATATTTTGTAAACTACAAATAAGATAAAGACGATAGATAAATGCTAGATAAAAAGAGAAAGAAAGAGAGAGGCTTAAGTACTAGTTCCTTGGTACTTGTCGCATAATCGGCTCGTAAGAAACAGCAGTGGTCTGGCACGAACGTTGTTTGACCATACTCAGGTATAGAACACAACCCGCTGAGATAGGAAATATTAATCCGCAAAAATATAACTACGGCGTTTACGGTGTCATCTTTTAGTTTTATTTTTTTTTTTTTTATACTTACATTACACGTGAATATATTATTTATAATAAATAATCCATGTAAATCGGTAGACTCCAATGGTTAGTATAATCTTTTTGTCATAATTAAACTTTATCTCGATAGATTATATAATATTATATGAACGGTGTAATTGAGTAAGAAAATCTGTTTGAACAATTTGATATTAAATTTAATATATCTTATTAAATATTTTTAATTGAATTATTATTGTATATTGAAATTATTTTCTATTTAAATGAGGGTAAATTTAATAAAGGAGAAAATTATTTAAAAGGATTATTAACGCCGATATGCATCGTTATTATTCGATTAACCATATTAGTCGGCAAGTGTATCCTGTGGTAGGTCTAAGAAAAAGATTTAAAAGAATAATAATAATAATAATAATAAATAATAATAATAATAAGTAAAAGGAGGAGGAGGAGGTGGAGGAGGTGGAGGAAAGAACGCGTGCACGAGAGAAAGAGAATTCTCGATATACGCATACATTTCATAGAACACCATAAATAAGAAACCCCAGGGACGTATGTATTTTACAATAAACATGAATCACATTTTGAAAATTTGCGTAAATTATTTAACTATCTTATTCAGAAAAACATATCATTAAATTTGTATATATTTAATTATTTTTTTATTTAAAATTTCAATTGATTTATTAAACACACACACACACATACGTACAGAGTATTTTTCTTTTTTTTTTTTTTTAAATAAATTAGAATTAAAAAAGAAATGAAAAATAAAATGAATGAAATGAGTGCAAAGAATGATGCGAGTCATAAGAGGATGATGAAAAGAAAAAAGAATATAAATACGGACGGCCCTGAGAAGAAAACCGATAATGGGTCGTTCCTAAGGCGTACACCACCATCTCACCACTACTATTACTATTGCAACACAACTACCAACGAAGGGAAATATAGTAGTCGAGGAGTCAAGATAAATCATCGTCTTACGAGTCGAGGGTTAATCAAACGAATTCCTACGATGATAAATGGAAACGTTTCGTTGCAATTACGTCGTCCTCCGTAGGAAGGCACACGATCGTCCTTTACAGTTTAAATCCTCCTCCACCACCTCTTTATCCTTTTATTTTCTCCCACACTGCTATATATTTCTCCTTACAATCTTTTTTAAATCATCCCTGTTGTCGTACATTCTCCAATATTACGCGAATTTCAAATAAATTTACTTCGGTATCGTAAGTTTATATAGGTTTTTTATTTTTGTTTTTTAATAGAAATTATTTCAACTAGTTGAAAAGGAAACGTGTAACATTAATTTATATATGTTATTAATTAATATATTAATTTTATTTCGCTTTTTTATCGCGTTTATTTTGTATTTAGTTTAGAATTATATTAAATCAAGCAGTTTAAAACAAAGCCACGAATGACGCGTGAATGCTAGACCATCCTAAAATTGTTATAAATTATAATTTGTAACAATTCTTATTTTTTCTTTTTTCTTTTTCTTTTTCTTTTGAATCTAGTTATACAAATGTTCCTTTAAATTCGATGGGACGATTTAAGAGAGTAAAGTTAAGCATAAGGGTGCGAAAAGGGTGCGGGAAAAAGGGTGCGAGATCGCGTGCAAAGAAGTTGAAAAACTCGTATCTTTCTCTTTCCATCTTTGTTTGTTTCTTTCTTTCTCATTGTTAATGTTCCATTGGTTGCTACCGCAGAATATAAAAGGGGAAAAATAAGGGAAGAGAAGGAAAGGAAAGGATAGGGAAGGGAAGGAAAGGGAAGGGAAGGGAAGGGAAAGGGAAAGGGAACGTAATAGATAGTAAGCACGGACTTCGGAGCCCTGGGAGCAACCGTAATTGGAATTAATTAGAGGCGTTTTGCGAACCGCTGCCCACGGAGAATCCTCCTATATACACGACTACACAACATAGGTAATCCCTTTTATTCTCCTCTTTTGCCCTTTAAGGAAGACGAATCGACGATCTTTTCCTATCGAACCCCTTTTACGTATTTTATACTGCTAAATTCCCTTGCACTCCCAGTCACGACGAATTTACAGAATTTTTTATAACCAAAATTCTACAATTCTTCAATTTGATATTTGAAACAAATATTTTCCTTCAACCCCTCCCCCTCCCCCGACTCCTATTAATTTTTAAATATAATAATAATTTATAATATTTAAATAATAACAGCGAATTTGATTTGTAAACGAGCAATTTTGAGATGTTATTACTTACTTTTCGATGCGGTAAAAATAAAAGAAAAAGCCAGCATCCTAAATGGTAGAAAGAATAAAATGAAAAAGAAAAAAGGGTAGAGGGAAAGAGAGAGAAAGGTAGAGATTTTAAGGGTCGTTTTGATTTGATTATTTTCTGTTTTACATTGTCTCGAACGAGCAGTGACGAGATAATGCGATAATTGGATTGGTAAAAGAGAGTTGAGATTTTTTGCGTCTACGGGAGGGTGAGGAAGGGGAAAAGGGGGGGGGGAGAGGGGGCTGGGACAGAGAGAAGTTTAGGTGAATGGCGCATTCAACGGAAATGATGGGCCCAATCCCGTAGGGACAGAGTCCCCCATCCTTCCTTCAGTTTCGTGTTCGTAATATAGTGTTCGAGTATATGTGTGTGTATGTGTGTGTAGAGAGGAGGAAACAGGGTGTTGTGGAATGTCGCGTGCTTCTAATGACGGATGAGTGGACACAATGAAAAAGAGAGAGAGAGGAATAGTTGAGATCGTTAGAGTGAAACGAAGTGAACGAGCATGTGATTGGTCGACGTTTTAAATTAACGATCCCTCTATCTATGCGAATCGATCTACGTTTCATTTTCATTTGAAAATAAATGGGATAAGTATAATATGTATATATAGATATATAAGCCAGGCACGCGAGTTAGTAAAACAAAAACAAAAACAAAAAAAGAAATTGGTAAAACACAGCGGTACCAATAAAACAGGGTACGACGATGAGAGGTTTAACGTTACGAAGTAGAAAAGAGAGTTCCGACGTGCGCGTATTATTTCTCTTGAGTTTTTCTTCTTGTTGCACGAGTACTCCACCTCCTCTTTCCTTCCCCTTGGTCATATCAAGGTCCAGAGAGCTCGGGTAAAGCGTGTACTTTGTGGCAATTAAAGCCCACCTCTCATTACGTCGTTAAGTCATAAACCATACCGCGGAGAACTAATCGGCCAGAAGGATCTCCTTCTCCCACGCGTCAAATGCCTGTTAATTTGCCACCGAACGGTGCCCCCTCCCATCCCTCCGATCAGGCCCCCCGATCGGGCCGCTCCTCCTTCCCCACCACTCCGATTCGATCCGATCCGATACACGAGAAGAAGAAGAACATGAAGAAGAATCTTTTTGAATTTTTAACCAAGAGTAAGAGAAAGAAAATGATGAGGAAAGATAGCGAATGATGATCTCGAGAAATCTACCCCCTCCTCTCCCTACCATTACACATTCTCCATTACGAAGCAAAAGCGATTTTAAACCGGCAGTAGGGCATCCATTAGGGTGTGGGAAGGGAGTAATCGTGATCGGTAATTTACGATTTTCTTTAGTTTCTTGGTGGTCGTCTAAGAGATACCTTTAAATATTATTTTCTTTATTTTGTTTTTCGATTTTTTGTTTTTTTTTTTTCGAAATTTATTCTACGTCCGTGATTAGGTCGTTTATTTCGGATCATTGCATTTTTGTTGTTGTTGTACATTTTTCAAGAATTATTTTTATATTTGTTGTTGTCGAATCGAAATCTTTTGTTTTTTACGTCTAAGAAATGTTCACCTAAAGGAAGAAGAACGATAGAATGGAAGAAGAAGAAGAAGAAGAAGAAAATAGAATGCATGTAACGTGGGATGACGAGTAGTGCATTCTCATATACGTCGGGGGGCCCTTAGGGCTCAATGGCAATTAACAGGGTGCCCATAACCTGACGGCCTTTTGCGCGAAATTGCACCGAGTACCGACAGTTATTATAGTATATCGAATAGACCATCTTTACGGTAGTTCATAGACACCTAAACGTTCCAATTCTTTCTAATATTTATTATTATTATTATTATAAATATATTAGGTCTAGCGAAAAATTCTGTTCATTTTGAAAATAAAATAAAATAATAAATTATTCCTAATTTGAACAATTAATTAATTGAATTACTTTTGAACTCTTCCAAACATGGTGGCAATTTGTATATTCCATTTAAAGAAATGGGGCCTTACCTCTAGTGACAAAAAATAGAACAAAATTTTCCGGTAGACCTAATATATATTTGAGAATTTATACAAATTTCAATTTATAATATTCGTACATGGATCATTGTATGAATTTGAAAAGAATTCAAATTACAAAATGTTCAAATGTTAGTTTAATTTTATATTATCAAATTGTCTTTTTTACTTTATATTTTCTATTCAAAATATTTCATCATAGTTCATTTGAAAATCTATTCTTTTTTCAAGAAAAAAAAAAAAACTAAATAAATAATCGTATATGATCGATTTAAAATCACGAAACTAACTTGTAGACATTAAGTAAAAGAATTACGATGAAGATACTTCCGATAACGTGTTATAAACGTTACGAAATATGGAAACCCGATACTCATCAGTTACACCTACACATATTTCTACAAGTATATAGGTGTATTATATATAACGTTGTACATAATCAACACTTCATTGCATTGCACGATATCGTTTTACTCAAGTTGGCATATCTGAACGATTAAAAGTACGTTTCCGTGACGATATCTCGTAGACTATAATATATATATATGCTTGTTCGTAGGTATTATGAGAGGATGATCATCATCATCATCATCATAATAATCATCATCATTGTCGATGATCGTGCCAAGAGCCTCGTAAAATGATCGTAAAACGATACCAAACTTAACGATCAATTTCCTATAAATCGTTCGATCGATTGTCGATAACTCGATTTGTTTTCTCGAACTATACTCTACGTTCGTTTCGTATATATTAGACTACTATAGTTCTGATAAACGTAAATGGATAGAATATATTCCATGAATATTGGAAATAAGTTTAAGGAATTTATAAAAAGTAAAATATAAATATTAACCCTTTGAGTGTTGAATACTTTTATCTAAAATGTTTTCTAGAAACGGAATAAATTTATCATTAACAAAATTCTAATAATAAATTATTGGGTATAATAATAATTTAAATATATAATATTACTTTGAGCAAACGCATCTATGCATCCATAGCACTCAAAGGGTTAATGTTATCGGGGTATATTGTTAATAATAAATAATAAATATATTCACCAATACGTCCTGTAATAATTCATGCTCGTCGAGAAGAATCACTTTGCAATGGAGAAGCCTAGGCCTACGGCTTCCGGTGGGCCTAAGTCCAGGACACAACCACTCCACCACCATAGCGTCTATTGCACTTTTCTCACTATATTTCTTCCCCTTTTTAACACACGAATACTTCCTCTCCTCTTCTCTTTTCTTCTCTTCTCTCACCTCACCTCTCGGGTTACTCCTTCATCCGCTTTCCGGCTTCGTGCATCCTGAAAAATGATATTACCTTATCGTCAATTAATTAATTCAACTTACTTTTTGTATTTCTTACAAATCTAATTAATAGATTTTGATATTACTATTCTGATCCTAAATCAATTATTATTATTATTATTTTTCTTTTACTATCACACAAATTATTCAGATTTACCTATAACATAACTAACCTTGCTTTTTATACTTTTTTCTTTGTCTTATTATTTTGTATATTGTTATAAATTATATTTAACAACTATTATGTACTATATATATATATAATACTATAAATTTAATAAATTTGCTAAATAGTTTAGAATTATATTAAATGAAGATTTTATAACAAAGCCACAGCAACACGTGGCCCAAACATCCTAATATTTAATATAATAATAAATTATTATTATTACTATTATTAGTGATATTAATATTATATAGCGATATAGTATATAGATTAGGGACGTGAACATAAGTGTTCGTATTTTAAAACGATGGAGAAGGAACGGAATGCATAGTAACCAGTTTGGAAAGTATCTTAAAGATACGAAACGTTTTATGCATATGCGTACAACGTTACCCATGCCTGGACATGTCCAAGAAGTAATCTTCCACGAGATGTAACGTAGGGGAACTATGTTGTAACGGTAAAGACGAGTAGCCTCGGCACTTATTATACTGTCCTTCGATAGATGCTATTTATAAGTTTTCGAATGGTCAACGTGAGAAGGGGGAAAAGATTCAATTGATAGTCAATACCATTAAATTCATTCCCGTAATTCTCATCGAAGTTTCTTACTCGATCATTTCATTTGACAAAATTAAAGAACATTGTGTGAGAAAACAAAAAACTTAAATAGAAATTAATGAATTCAATCTATTTGAGGTCACACATTGAGGTATGAGTAAACTAAAGTTTTGATAAGTTTCTGATGTGAGATATCAACATTTTTTATTTGTTATTATAATTCTCTCGACTGTCAAGTATGATACACACACACACACACACATGATTGTGTGAACACATTTCTTGATGAATTACTTTTTTTACCGAGCTCCATTTATTATTCACGCGACTTTCATCAAAGGGGTTACACCTCCGTTGAAATTGGGCCAACGGGACATCAGCGTGAAAGAAAAAAAAAAAAGAAAAGAAAAGGAAAGGAAAAAAAAATAAAGAGAGAGAAGAAGAAATAAGAGACGGACAGGATTTTTTTATAGGTCGAAAACAGATTTCATACAGATATTATAATATAAAATTATAGTATAAAAGTATAGTAAAGTATAAATAAATATTGTATATTTTAGATCATAAGTCATCAAGAAAAATGTCTTTTTCGATGTGCCGAACTCCTTGCATTCTGAGTGCCATTGAACTCTCTAAGAAACGTGTATGTAATTCCAATATATACTTATGTACTTTTGCCTACCTATATATACAATTGTTTATATGTGTATATAGTTATCTCTGGGTGTATGTGTGTGTGTATATACGAAACTCTGGGAAACAGGTTTCGTATCCAGAATTCCTGAATTTGTATCTCTCTGTTCGTGTAACAGAAAGCGACGGGGCTTAACAAATTGCGACGGTTAACCCATATCGCAGAACTAATTGCAGGGAAGTCTGCCTTTATTAATCAGCATGCTAAAGTATAGTATACATTCGGCCAACCGTAACGTTGCGACCAACAGATATCATATTTGTTGTTTTTTTCTTTTTCTTCATTTCTTTCATTCTTTTTATATTCCCATTGGTAACCGTTTATTCGCTCCGTCCAATCGAATTAACCGATTAAGAAAATACAGTAAGAAGAACCTACTCTTGGTATCTTTTATCCCAACTCTTCCATACCCCACCAACCACCTTTCCACAGAAAAACTTTTTCTTTCATTCTGTTTTCAATCAAACGTTCCTATCCCAATTATAATATGCACCTTACCAATTTGTAATAATATAATAATAGCAGGTAAATGTATTGTTCAAATTGATGAGAGATATCAAAGTTGTTGTTTATTTTATTTTATTTTATTTTTTAATTAAAATCGATACCAAAAGTTTTTCATTRAAATTCTAACAAATAAAATAAAATAAATTATTCGTATGAATATAATATAACTGTGCAATATAACTTTTTCGTATAAAATTACGATACCAATGCGTATATGAATTAAATCAGAGACGTGGTAGTAAATAAATCGTTTTGTTTAAGAAAAAGGGAATGTTAAGTTCTCCAATGAAATTCCAAGTGGTTCAACAACCGATAAAATATTCTAAGAAGTAAGAGACGTCTTCTAATTAATCCCCCCGTTTCTCCAACAATTCCAACCCCCAACCCCATCACAATAAACCACCAACAAGTCGTCACAATAAACACGATCAGTCGTATTTAATCGACGATGATTTCCGCATAATCAATTCAGGGATGTCCTTCGAATCGATTAATAAAAAAAAGGGATTTTTATCTTACAAACGTTTCGAATTTATATACCGAATGGAAAATAAAAGGAAGTTTTTCAAATGTAATGAGGTAAGCGAATATCGGATACTCGTTATAATCTAAAGAATCGTTCAGATTCTATCTTCGTGATGATACTTTTAAATATAATCGAATCAATATCAATGTAATCGATCCTTCCTAATAGAAAATTTCTAAAGAAACTATGAATGAAACTACAAATGAATTTTCATTTTATCTAACATTTCTATGCACGAAAAACAAAATACACAAGCAACATAATAATTTATAAACATAGATTATATTATTCATTAGTTTTTTTTTTTTTTTTTTTTTTTTTTTTAAATAAATATGATTTTAAATGGATAGAATTGAAAAGAATAAAAAAGAAACAAGCAATGTACTTGTATAAAAAAAAAATAAGAAAAAGAAGCACAATGAGTGAAATTTTCTCTCCTCAAAGAGACATCGTATTCGAGTTCCTCCGAAAGAATGTGGAAGCAACGCCGTTCCCGTAACTCGACGATTTTTATTTCCCTCACACGTGCATGCACGCGACAGAAAAAGAAAGAAATAGAAAGAAACGCGTGGCTATGTCCGAGAGGCACAAGACAAGAGCAATTCTTTTCCCCCATCTAGAAGAATTCTCTTGAAATAGCGACGATATAAACTCTGGTAAATAGTGAATACCCCCATTAGCCTTTTCCTCCATTGTCTCCCATAAAGAAACTAACAATAAAAAGGCAAGACATTTTTTCATTCGTCTTGCATGAAATCTTTTTTTCTAAGAACCCAACACACCACCGGACGCGTCTAGGTCAAAGGTCATCTTATTTTCTTCTTTTTTCCTTTTTTTTTATACGATTCGATTTCGAACAATCATGCTAAAGAATAAATGCGTACGTTTAATTGTTATTTTATACGATTAGAGTAATAGAATAATTCGTAAGCATGATTTGTTCTTTTTTTCATTTTCCCGCATTTTTATTTCCCTCCATTTTTGTTTTGTTTTTTGAACTTCATAAACTTAATACAAATGATCCAATTAAATTCAAATAAAATAAAATAATAGTTTTATTGTTCAAAGTAGTATGATAAAAAAGATACTAAATACATAAATGCATAAATCTTGAAGATTTTTATTATGTCTATTATTCTTTATATTCTTATTTATCTGTCTGTCAAGAAAGAGACAATGATGTATGTGCGTTCGTCGACGAATGGAGAAATAAAAAGAATTTCTAGTAATAAATAAACACTTTTAAATTCGCGATCTTAAATCAAATAAATTTCTTCCATCGATCATTTCGATGAATGAATGAATGCTTAACAAACAATGTCTATGCAATGTTGTTGTTGATGAACAAAAACTTATCAGCGAGATTTTTCTTTGACTAATTCGAGTTAAATGAAAATGAAATAAAATTGTATAAACGTGGATAAATATTCGATTCTCACCTCGATCACCAAAATCAGAGGAAAGATCCAGGGAAGAAAATTGTGATCCTTGAACGAAGTAAAAGGAGCGGTAGCAGCAGTAGTAACAACCAATCATCGTTGAGTATTTTCTTCTCAAAAAAACACGCGCTCTGATTCGTATTTTATTATCTTCTTTGCACGAACTTTATTAACCAATTATAGCGAAATAAATATCACGGATATAATTAATGCGTTATCATCCGATATTCAACGAATAGAAATAAAGTTAAATAAATAAAGATAGAACAATGAAATAGTCAAGATAAAAAAGTAACCAATAGGAGGAATGTAAAGTATCTTTTTTAGTACGAACTTATTATTGTCACACTCACGATGGAGAACGACGACGACGACGAATGATACGAGAATGAAAAAGAAGAGGAAGTGAAGTAGAATAAGAATAAGAAAGAAAAGAATAAAAAGAATAAGAAAGAATAAAAGGAAAAATAAGACAGCGTGACATGTCAGTCAGGTGGCGGAGCGCGTCTGCGGAGCGCTATCGTTCTCTCGTCCTTCTGCAAAGATAAATCCCTTTGGTAGAACTCGCGAATAAGAAGGAAGAGGAGGAAGAGAAGTGTAGAATAAAAGAAGGTAGAAGAATGAGGAGGGAGAGGAGGAGGAGGAGGAGGAGAAGAAGAAGAGAAGAAGAAGAAGAAGAAGGAGGAACGACAGGTATCACGCAGTCGACGACGAACGAACTAGCGCGAACTAGCGCGAACGAGCGAACGAACTCGAAGGAACTCGTGCCTCGCCGGCCACCGCTATGATCACGCTGATTGGCCGACTCCAACTACCCCCACCACCCACTCCCGTTCTCCATTTCTCCTCGCGCATCGAAGAAAAGGACGAAGGGAAGGTTGTGTTGGATCAGGGCACTGGCTTCGTTCGAATGAAACTGAACCGGAGTCATACGTATATATGGATTTATCTGTAGTAGTATATTGCCAGTTGGGTCGTGAAAAAGATCGAAAACATCGCGATGCGGACCGATATCATTCTCTTCCCTTTCTTCTCACAGGATGAATTCTACTTTCTGCGCATGCGCGATAATTTTCTTTATACACAAAATAAATACTTCAAAAGCGTTAAGATTTATTTAAACTTATTATATTCATCTAATTATTATGTTATTTCAATATATATTTTCTATACTTTCATGACAATACATTTAATTACAGCGTGTAGTTTATAATTTGAATTAACTGTAGGTATCATCATTGTTCTAATCTATTTCATATTAGACTGCTTGCGCAGAACTTTATGCGACCTTTTTCCGGTCTCGTGCCAGACGTGCTTCCTAATGACTCGATGCGAATGAAAAAAAGAAAAAAAAAAGGAAAGAAAGAAATAAAAATTCATTATTAAAAAGTAATTAATTATTGTCCTCCTCTGGTTTTTTCCTTTCTTCTAATTAAACGAAAATAAACGGGTTTTTAAATAACCGACGAAAATTAAGTTTTCAATAGAGTAGTCAGTTTGCCTGCGAACAATGCTTGTTTGTTTTATTATTATTATTTTCATTAAAATTACTATAATTATTATTATATTCCTTATTCGAATCAAGAGATCGTAATATGCCCCCGTGCATTTACCTTTTAATAAAAACATCGTAATTTTTTAATTGCTTGCGTCGTTGGATATTTAACAGGCTGCAATTTACCGCGAGTTCTTTTTATGTGTGTACACGTGCGTATATTTCAATGTATTGGGTTTTTTTTCTTTACCACTAGCACGAAATTCATACGTTCATATATTAGTCAAGAACTATATTATTAAATACTTCGACTTTTAAACGAAACATTTTCTTTCCATTTCATATATCCCATAAATTCCATTTTGATTACTTCACAGGAATTAGTGTCTCTCCCTATAGGTGAAGTTACGAACTAAAGTGTCGGTAATATCCTAGTGAAGATGATTAACACAAAAAGTTACCAAAATATCTTACCTATCTTGTGATGATAATAAAAAATACTGTAATTTAATGATATCCAATGAAAGTTTAAGAAAAAAAATGGCGCTTCAAGCGCATGCGCATTGTCGATAATATCTAAACTTTAGGCTGGAAACCAGCACTCTTCTTTTTTTTTTTTTTTAAATTCACATATCAATTAATATAAAATATTAAATAAATACTTAAAGATTATCTTTGAGATAGACTTTACAAAATTAATATTTGATTAGATATTATAAGAGATAAATATTTGAGTTGAATACAAAATAAAAATCGATCAAAGCGACTCTAATGGGAATAAATGGAAGCTTCAACGCATAGTAATTTTATGGTCAATGTTGTCTGCCATGGTTATAAGTGTATTATTAAGTATGTGTGTTGTACTATGTGAAGGTTAATGAATGTTTCACGTCATCATATTAATTTAGTGTTTATCCAATTAATAAGTGAATTTTTGTTAAAATATGTTGTACACGTGACGTCGAGTGGACAGTAAATGTGTGCATATTTTAAGCTGTGAGTTTAACGGTAAACATCAACGTGTAAAATGGCGTGGTTCGGTGACAGTCTTTCTGGATTATCTCAATTAAAAGGCCAAATTACGAACTTTACGAAAGAGGTACTTTCCGAAGGGATCGTAAAAGAAACTGGTACGTAATTAATTTTTAAAAAGATCTGCTATAAATAAGCAAATATGATGTTGAAAATTATTTCGCAAGAAGAAAGTTTAAGGTTATTCACGACTGTCAAAATAAGGGTCTGTTTTACCGATCTTTTTTTTTCCACTAAAATCTAGTTTACCGACTAAACCGCTTGGCGGTAAATTTCAAAATCTCCCTAGACTTACCGACTAGGTAGAAACTACTAATGCAACAAATTTATTAAATAAATAAATAAATTAACATCGTTTCGTTTTAATACGATATTTAATGTTTAAATCGTGGTTTTACAAATAAATTGCGACATTGTATGTAATTATTTAGGTAAATAAATTTTGATTTTTTTATATTTTTCAATTTAGATGATCAAACGTTGCAATTAAAAGAAGCGAACGAACGTTGCATAAAACTGCAAGAGTTATTGGACACGAAGGATGCCGAAGTGAGTATACTATTTTTCTTCTTTTTACATAATAGTCTTTCATAATTGTGTCTACGCATAGAGAGAGAGAGAGAGAGAGACACACACACACACACACATAAATACATAAGCAAGTAATATATTCTTATCGATGGACTGGAAAGTTAAAATTTATCAAAAATAATATTTAAGTTTTTCAATGTTATCGGAGAGGATCTAAAAAACCTACCCTTCTCCTCGTTGGTTTTTCCATGATAAAAAAAAGAAAAAAGAATGAGAGTGAGAGAGAGAGAAAGAGGGTCGATTAGAAATGATTTCAACAGATGTTACTCTCCCCAATATAATCACGAATGAGTGTTAAGCAAATACATTTAACTTATCTGACCATATTATTCTACCACCCCAAGCGCTTTACAAAATCCTTTGGACCCTCCTTCTATTTTTTTTTTTTTTTTATTATATTTCTCATCCCCCTATTCCTTCTTCTTTTTTTTTCCTTTCCATTTTTTAGAATCGAATAAATTATTCCTATTTTGTAACGCGCGCGGTGTATC